ATGTATTGGAATTACTAGTCAAAGTTGTAGAAAAAATTATTATTTATATCAAACTCCATTATTTTCTTATTTGGTAACAAATGCTAAAAAGTCTACGACATTTTGGCTTGAGAAAGCTTTAGAATTTATGAAACAAAAAAATATGAATTATTTACCTGTAAGTTTTGACTGTTCATAGTCACACAGACGTAATGCTCGACAAGCAAGTGGGAAATTAATTTTTCAAGAACCTATACCTGGTATATTATTTATAAATTCAGGTTTAAGGGAAGTTCTATTTTCACCGGGTTAAAGTCACCTGATATATATTTAATTTTTATGATACTATATAATATAAATTCATATAATATTGTTAAAATTCGTCTACCCTAACTACTAACTAACCAATCTATAGAATTTTAGTTATAATAATTTGTATTATATAATATAATATATCACATGATTTTAACTTGGGTGAAAATAGAATTTTCCTTAATTTAATAATATAAAATAATAAAAACTTCTATGTAAATTTAAAACTAGAGGTTTTTCACAAACCTGTAATTGCTTTCTATACTGTTGAAAAAGCACGTAACATAAAAGATCAAGATACCGGAAGAACTATTAATTTATATGAAGGAAATTTTGAAAAAAGTTCACGGCAAATGGAACACTGTATACTTATCGCTGTTTTGAATAAAGTGGAACCTTATTTAGATAAACACGATTTTGTTTTGGAGATAGTTGTTGATGGAGACTTGGATACTAATAAAACATTAGCCAACATGCAAATTGTTAGTCAAATATATGCTGATTTGAAGCATATAAGCAAGAATGTACATAAGTCATTATGTAAGTAAAAATTTAATAATCCATATTTAACTTACCGAATTATTTCGAGATCCATCTATTTATCGAAGGTTTTATTTTACCGAGTAAATCTACTAAAACTTATTTTTATAACTGATCAGATCCTAAAAATTAAAATTTGATTGTTTAGCAAAATTTAGATTAGGATCAGTGTGCGAAATTTAATTTTATGTTCTAAGAACATTTTTCAAATGTTCTTAAAAAATCACTAATTTAATATTCTTAAATAGAGAACACATTTTAACCAATTATATTCTTAGTAGTTGATTAGTGTTCTCAGAGAACATTGAGAATATTGAATTTCGCATACTGGTTATACTGGTAAATTTTAAAAAATTCAACATGTCGAATGGCAACATTCGACTACTATTCAACTACTATTCGACTAGCATTTGACTGTCATTTGATATATCAAATGTTAGTTGAATAGTATAACAATTTGATCACTATTAATATCATCACATTATTTCGCGAACATGCATGTCTGCGAAATTATATAATATTATGCAATACTACATATATTTTTGAAATCAAATACGTAATATACTGGTAATTTAAATATGCTATTATTCAATATTATCATATAATTTCGCGGACATGCATGTCCACGAAATTAAACAATAAATTACGTATTTGATTTCAAAAATATAATATAATTTCGCGGACATGCATGTCCATGAAATAATGTGATGATATTAATGGTGATCAAATTGTTTTACTATTCGACTAACATTTGATATGCCGAATGACAGTCAAATGCTAGCCAAATAGTAGTCGAATATTGCCATTCGACATGTCGAATTTTTTAAAATTTACCAGTGTTAGAATAATTTAGAATTCAAATTTAATATAATTATGCTATAATTAGAATAAATTTTAGTAAATTTATTTGTTAACAAAATAAAACTTTAATTAATTATCAATGAAGTAAAACGTTTAATAAAGTATTAATTAGCAAATTAAGATATAAGAAATTAATTTTCTAGTACACCCAACATACCGAAAATTTCACAACTTCGAACAGCATATAATGCGTTATTTTAATAGTTGTGTCTATGCAGCTGGATTACGTAAAGATAATCCTAATGAAATTACTCTGACCCAATCTCAACTTTAGGAAATTCAAATAGACGGCCTAATATGTCATTTGCAGGATAATCATTCGCTGTGTTGGCCTGAAGTCTGTTGGATAAAAGATAATCAAGAATTAAGTATTCAAGATCCAATATTAAAACATTATTCACAAGTTCAAATTAATGAATTTTGACAAATGTTAGAAAAAATTTTTAGATTACCGATTGGCCAAAGATTAGTAACTACTTATCGCACTTCAATAAATGAGGCATTTAATAGAGTTAAATTAGTCTACCTTGATAAGAAAATAGACTTTTGGAAATCATTTAGTGGACAGCATGCCTTAGCAGTTATTCACCATAATGATGGCTATGCTAGAGTTTTGGAAACTATTCGATATGGATATACTTATGAACCTTTTACAATACAGGATAAAATTAATATCAAAAAAATGGAAAGTATTCGATATGATCAGCAAGTTCGCAATGTAAAAAATATTTACTTACGTAATACTGAACGTGCTGAAATTTATTCGAATAAAAAAAAAGAATTACAAGAATTTGATTTTGCTCAGGTATAATTAATAAATTAAAGTGTAATAAAAATATAGATAATTCTATTTTTACCCGGGTCACCCTTATCCTAATATTACTAATCTTTACTATATAAAATAGAGTTTTTCATAATTTTATTTTCATATAAGAAATTAGTAATATAAGGGCAAGAGTGATCTGAGTAAATATAAAATTATCATATGGTATAAATCATCTAGTCACTCCATTTAAGTAATTTAAAGGTTAACAATTTTGAAGAACCTAACCAATCAAACAATACTTTGCCAATTATTAGTCTTCGAAATTTCTAATACATTTTTTTTAAAAAAATTGTATCTCCTTTGATGGGCAAGTGTAATTTCGCAAAACAAATGTGTTACTTTATAGGTCTTATTCAGGACTACAAAACAATAGGAGTTTTATTTTTTTTGTGAAATTCCAAATATTCATCAAGGAGCTACAATTTTGGACGTCTTTAGATGATTTGTACTATAAAAACAAATAAATATATTTATTAATATATTAGTATTATAAAATTTAAATATAAAGGATTTAATTCCTTACAAATATAAAGGGAAAGAGCGCTTACATTTAAATAGTTTCTATCTATCATTCGGCTATCTAATCAAAGATTTTGAGACAGTAATTAGATGTCAAGGCTGTCAAACATTCAAAAAGCAACATTCATCAGGATTATGTGGCATGTGTGATACTTTTTTGAATTTTGGTTTGTTAGACCGAATTATAGATTCAACCTATGTCCCAAAAGTAAAATACTTACCCGTAAATGATTTTGAAAAACAAATCTTAATTGTTGCAAAAAAAATATATGGGTTTGATACATTAAAATTAGAACAAAAATTAGCCATAAAAATATATGTTCAATATCATAAAAATACTTTCATATTAATGTCTACTGGTAGTGGTAAATCTTTGTGTTTTGTTTTATCTGCTATATTGTTTGATGGCTTAACTATCGTTATTAGTCCTTTAACGGTATTAATAGAAAATCAAGTGGTTAGTAGTAGTAGTAAGATGAATTTTTACTTATTTTAAATATTAATTATATTAAACTATAGACATATTTGACAAACTTTGGAGTTTCTAGTACAGCCTTATATGCTTCCATGATGGAAACAGCTATACATGAAGAAAAAATTTTTGAAGAAATTGCAATAGGGTTTTTAAAAGTATTGTATATAACCCTGAGAAAGTTGAGCTAAATCAACATTTTCAAATATTTTTAGATAAATTATATCAAGAAAAAAAGTTACAGTTAGTTATAGATGAGGCATATTGCATATTAAGTTACCAACATTTCTGGTATGTAATAAAGTTGATTACTATATATATCATAATTCACCATATTTATTTTATTTAATAGAGGAGCCTGGGGAAGATTAGGATTTCTTAAAAAACGATATCCGACTGTACCTTTATTGTTGTTAACTGCGACTGTGTCAAGTGCACATATTGAAGCTATTCGTAAAACCCTAAATCTTGAACAATCTAATTTTGAAATAATTCATAGTACAAATCTATTGCATAAAGAAATCTAGTATAAGGTTATATCAAAAAAAGACAGAAAAGATACAATTATCGGAGATATGGCTAAAATGATTCATACCATTAAAGATAGTAAATCAATTATATATTGTGCATGAAAAAAAGACTGCGAAGAAATAAGAGATATTCTTCGGACAAAATTGCCTAACCATTCGCTAGATATATATCATGGGGGTCTAGATGGTAAAGATAAAAAACATATATTAGAAAA